ACACATGTGGCTAGATTTTAATGAAATGAATTTGGTATGAGGGTCTTAATCCGTCGTATTTCCAGGTTTTTTTTTAAATTTGATGTAATTTTTATTTTAGTGTAATCTTCTCCTAAAACCCCATAAATTAACAGAAACATTTGTACTAAAGAGGATCAAAAATGGTTTGCATTAAAATTAAGTATGTTATAGTCCTTTTAGTTTTAACAAAATGGTACAACCCCTATTCCTGTAAAATTTACGGCTCAAAAAACAATCAATTTTTTTGTGATTTTACCCATAAAATATCTTAAGAGATTTGACAAGTTACTAAGAGAAAATATGGGTCAGTTTGCTGACACCGTTCATTTAGTCATTTAAACTTTTCAGTTAAAACTGTAAACAAATCTTTACTTCTTGTTAATCAAGTCAATCAAGCTTGATAGCAATGAAAATAAGAACCTCTAAACATTTTGTGATCGAAACATTTCCAAGCTGTACAGCTTAGTTTTTGACAATGAATACTATGAAGTACTATGAAACAATGTGGAACACAATGCATACAAATGGTTTATGTTCATTAGTTTTATAAAAACTTCATTAATCAGCTGTATGATTTACTTGTTTGCATTACCATCATTTTAATAATCTATTAAAATAAATTTTAAATGTGGTAGTTTTTCTTATGTTTGACATGATAACCAGACAGTACTTACTTCCAAAATACTTTACTTTGAATCTGTGAAGGTCTAGAGGACATAGCTCAAGAGGTGGTTAATACCTGAATTATAAGTTGGTAGAATCCTATATTTACGTTTGAGTAATAATTCAGTGGATGCAGTATTTTGTGTTTACCAAAAGCAAATTTATATACAAACCCAAACTTATAGTAAAATAATTTACTGTTAATTCATTAAAGGAATATAAAAGAAAGACACCTTTAAAAATTATATTTTAATAAAGAAATTTACATCGCACTTAAATATACTTTACAACAAATTTAACAGCTAAATTATCAATTACAAAATGTTACATTCCATGGCAGTGCTTGCTTAAACTCTGTCTCTTGACTAACAACATTCTACTCTACGCTTCTAGCCTAACATTATCTAAGGCAAAAATCAATTAGTCTACTCTACTCACTTTGACCCAGTCATTTATTAATTTATTGGGGACGATTTAAAACCAAAATCGGCATTTCTGAAATGTGTGTAGTAAAGTTTTCTGGTATTGAATCTACTTACAGCAAGTAAATAGAAATACGTCTAATAACACGCTTAAAACACATATTTACCTTAAACTGTTGGTTGAATTTAATTAATTGAACTCACAATACAGTAAATACACATTACAGATGGTAGGTAGTGATCAATTTTGACTAGACACTTCAATCTAAATCGATCACCATTTACCATCTTTTATAAGTTTCAAGATAAGACATATTTTTATTTACTTGCTGTAAATAGTATTGTAACAAGTACAATGGTGGTCAAGAAGCTATTTAATACTACTTCTAAAAAGGTTTATGTCTTTTAGGAAGGTTAATGATTAACTATTAAATAATGTTTTAGAGTTTCCTCTAGAAGAATATCTTCTTACAAAATATTTTCAACAATCAAACAAACAGTAACGTTAACAATTTTCATTACAATTACTGAATTTTTAACATAATGACCAACTAAACGACATAATACAGTAATTGACTACATTTTCAGTTGTCGCGCTTATAAAAAAACACTGAAAATATCTTTTCCTTGTTTCCAAGAACTTTACAACATTCCCGGCCCAGCTTCTAATTAGCTTTTTAAGTCTTTCCTTATCTCTATTTTCCTCCTTAACTTACGCCATTCTTAGATATGTCTCTTTGTATTGCAGATCAGGCACTTTAACTTACAATACTGCTAAGCGCTAAGCCTACGGAATGTACGCAATTATAGCCTTAAACAATTACTAAAAACAACAATGTTCTCTTATCACTAAAACATAATCCAAAAAACATTTCCACATTAACTGTAGTTAGTTTGAGCCAGAAAACAAATATAAAATATTTATTTCAACACTAATATCGGACTATACATTCAGCACCTATATAAACAGCTATTAAAATCAAAACTTCTATTTAGGCCTGGTAAAACATCTTATGTTGAAATATTATTATTTGAAATATGTTACAACAGCGAAATAATTTGAATGGGTTATTTTCGCTCTATATACATAAAATTGGGAATATTTTCATAAAAGCACATAATTGTATTAGACAGTGTTCGTTACTATTTTGTAAACTAACCAGTCTTTTTATCGATGGAAACGATTAGGAAATAATATTTAACTAAAAGCAATCTAGTCAAAATATAATTTGGAAAAATTTACTTATTTCGTGCTTTGGTATTGAACAAAACATTTATAATGCAGTTTAACTGTTAAATGATTGTTAACTATAATTATAGGGAAACCTAAAAACCATATTCGGGGTAGACTTCCATATCTGTTGGCAAAAATAACCAAATTAAAATATCTCTCGATATATCGAATGAAACAATCAAATAATCGATATTTTCATTCGGTTGTTTTTGACAACAGATACGGAAGTCTACCCCATATTTGATTACCAATATTAATGGTAAGAACTTTATTGTAGCAATACACTAACTATTGGGAAGTAAAAGTTTCTTAAAACAAGTATAGCGGCAGTGAATGTGAGATTATTGTTTATTTGTATCCCTGCAGGTTGTATCGGTAAATATATTCTCAGCAAAATGAATTATTATCTATTAAAATATACCCACATTCACCTTTTAATAATATCATAAATAAAGATATTATCTTCTCTGCGATTTTTTATAAGGGAACTGTCTATATACTTTGTTTTTAGAGAACTAAATTCAAAAGGTGAATGTGGGGTTTTAGAGCGTTCACCATTTCCATTATATTAAAATTAGCAAAGCTGATCTAGTAACCGGAAAACTTCTATCTTATTGCAAATTGATATTTTGCTGTTCCTCTATATAAAAACCTGAAGTAATAATATAAGCTTAAAGATATATACACTTATATAAAAATGTAATTGAGTCATGTAATTGAATATGTTCTAGGAAATATATACAGGTCAATGAGTATTCCAGACGGCTTAGTTTTGGAATACCTATACAATTAGTAGAATTATAAAAATATTAAATACATGTAAGAATATTCGCTAAAATAGCGTTTTTTTTTATGTTATATTAACCATATTTACTCTAATGTTATTTAGCAATTTCATCATTTATACCTACTGATTGAGGTAGGACTATACAATTTGGGAATATAATTTTTCAAAAAGTGAACTCCAAATATCACTTACATAGCTCTAAGAACATGATTACTTTTGTTGTCATAAACTGCAGACTAAAAAATTCAGGAAGAGTTTTTTAATCATTTAGGTTGAGAGAACTAACTCAATAAGGAATTTTCCAGTAACCATGTCATGGTACATATTATTACTTTAGCTATAGGTAACGTTATTACGTACCGTTATATTATTACTTTATCTGAGGAAACGTCCAATAAGATCGATAAAAATCTGTTATTTTTACAACTATTTGTTTCATTGATTACTTAAATTCACAAATCAAGAGGTTTATGTATGGATATTTCCACTTAGGGTAAACGAATTCCAGTAAGTCTAATCAATAGCCCCAAACATTTTTTACTTCTCCATTATTCTCTGACTTTCATAAATGAATTCATTTTTATTTGTATGACAAATATTTGTTTGTTCGCTATTAGATAAATAAATATAACAACTTTTTAATCAGTTATTTATAAGTACTCAGGTTCTGTGACTTTTATAATTTGATAATCACTATTACATCAAAGAGTTTTCCTGCTTATATAATGTAATGTAAATTTTAAAGGCCCTAATAGTCTGTTATAATACTGGAAAATACAAAACTGTACATAATATATTTACAAAATATCATGAGCACCTGTAATCACAATTAATTACACATTAAATACGGTGATCAATAATAGTTTTCCATATTTTTACTTATCTTAAACAGTTAAACGATTATTTAACATGTTTGAATATCTAACAACAAAACATTATTCAATTAATTATTTACATCATACTATTCAAGTCTTTAAATATAAAGGGAACGGTAAATATAATTGAACAGCACAGTGAGGTTTCATTCCATTCAATTTAAACTGATTTGAAATTGATAAAGGGAAAAACTATAGCAGTTATGATGATGGAGGACACTGGTATGACATACACAATCTTCAATAACTGCTAGGTGTGGCAATTAGACAGATCATTTATAACCTTCGGGTCTTCTTATGTCCTTGTATCAGACATATGAACCCAATGAACTTCAAAACCATTTAACGATTTTATAATTAGGTATGGAATAATACAAACAGAAATCGCTTCCTTTTATCCAAAATTAAATAGGCAGGCTGATACTGTGAAGCTGTGTTCAAACTGTGAAGAGCTTTTTTTTATGCAAAATGATGTGTCGAAAATAATTATTTAAACCTTTTAAAAGAGTTGAGAAAAACGCAACATTCCATGAGAAGTCTCCGTATAGCCTCATGTTTGTGAAGAATTTAAAAACAAATAGTAAATGTTATTTAACTTGACAGATTGGAAGACTGTGGTTTTCGGAAAAGATGTAACCAAATCATAAATATTATAAATATAAAAAGAAAACTAAAAGGAAAGCATTGTTCTACCTGATCATCATTTTGATCATAATTTTGTTTGTGTTTTGATTTTTAAGTTTAACTTAATTATTGAATTTTATCCTCCCGATTCAGATAGATCAATCCATTACCACATAATTTTAAAAATTAATAAATCCATACAAAATAAACAAAAACTTACTAAATAAGGGACTGTCATTTCAGTTTTTACATCATCTGTATCATTGTCCAAGGGGTTAAAAGTTACCTTTTAGGTTTTACCCAGTCGATGGCTATCAATGTATGGTCTCTTCAATGAGCTTGATGGACGTCTTATCTGGGTACTTATGGAAACGAGGTTACTCAGTCTGCATAGTAATGCAATGGAGAAAGCTTCAACCTCCACGGGTAACTTGGGACCAATGACCTAAGGCTTGCCCGGGTGGGCGCCGTTGTGGCCATTGAGTCTTCTTCGTCATGCCCTCTGCGTTGCTGATCTCGTATTGGCCTGAACCTGACCCGAGCTGTGGGATTCTCCACTACGACACATCAGTAGGTTCTTGTACGCTTGTCTGTACTCTGAGCTCATAACAACATAAATAATAGGGTTGATGCAAGTAGTCAGATAAATCAAAATATAACCGGCGATGTTCAACCCGCGGTAGTCGAAAAAGTCCCTGAAAGTCTTGGATATCGTTATAGGAAGGTAACACGTCACAAACGCAGCGAAAATGACCAGAATCATTTTCAAAAGCTTTTTATCCTTCGGTGTCATTTTTCCAGGGACGGCAGGAATCATGGAGCTGATTCTCCTTGGGCTTATGTTGTGCTTCATGTGACTTCCTTTGCGGAAGACGGAAGCCACGTGGGATAAAACAGCTGAGGGTAAACGTTCTTTGCGCTTTTTCCGCCTCACGCTTCTAAAGCTTGGAGAATGCGGCATGGAACTACACACCGATGTTGGTGTCACGCTTCTTGAAGTGGCTTCGTCTTCTTCGTCGAAAGCGTTGCCTTCCACGCCCGAAGACGAAGACGGGTCTGTTGCGATCTTCGCGAACCGCACAGGAGATGATGTAGGAGGTGAAAGTAAATTGTGAGGAGTCTGAAGAGTGACCATTTTGATCGTGATAGTGTCCGCAGACAACTCCGAAGACGTACCGTTGTCTAAAATAGATGAAGACTTATCGGTAGAATACGATGGTCCCGTACTGACTGATCCTAGAGCAGAATCATCAGTGGAAGAATGGTGTGACTTTTTCAAAAGTCGAACTCTCCCTGAGGAGTAGTACGAGGATGACTTGGAAGCGCCGGCTACTGTAGTGCTGGCAGTAGTTGTGGCAGTGCTGTTTCTCGCTGTTAAGCGTGACTTCATCGCTGTTTTTCTAACAATGTAGAATATCCTCGCGTAGCAGACGACGATGGCGATGCACGGGATGACGAAGGCGACCAGGAAGAGGAACACCTTGGGCGAGTGGCCGTGCTGGTCGGGGAGGATGGAACAGGAGCCGATGGCTGGGTCTAGGCCGAACTTGCCCCACTTGCCGAGCCATGTGGCGACTAGAGCTCCAAATCCACACAACCATGTACTGGCCACCATCAGACCCAGGTATTGGTTACGGTACAGCCTGCGAACAGACACGTTATATTAGTACTGTTCCATATGCACATCTCTTCAGATTAAATATTGAGTAATAATGTTTTTAAAACTGAATTCAGAAATAATTTTGTAAAAAAATTAATTGATTTTTTTTAGCAGCTTGTGGGTAGTAGTGTTAGATTTTGGGGTGCGAGCAGATCTAGTGGTAAGAGCGCGAGACTTCGGTCTCTGAGGTCCAGGGTTCAAATCCCACCAAATCAAAAATGGATTTTATCTAAGTGATAGTGCCGCAACCCCTATGTCTAGCCTGAAGTAATGTATAAAACAATCCCGGGCTCGTGCTTAGCGTCTCAAGACAAAAAAATAGTAGTGTTAGGTGAAGACTTTTTGTACAAACTATTTTTGAGCACACAACATTTTGTTTTGCCACTAACGATTTGGCGTTTGGTGCTCTCATTGTTGGTGAAAATAACTTAAATTGTTATAGATATTTTTACCGTATTCAATATTATTTTAATGGAAAAAATAATGCAAAAAGGTGATACATTGCATTGTAAAAATTAAAATTCTTATATATTGCTTCCGATTAATTGCAACCGGTTGAAATATTTGATACAAATTTAATTTAAAACACAAATTACATCCAGTCATTGGTTAAAAGAAACGAACTGAACTGAGCTCATTATTATTTAGAAAGGATACAGCTTGTACGAATGTGTAATAGATTTTTTTAAGCAGCATAGAAAAAAATCTACCCGAAAAGATGAGAAACTGCTTAATACGACATATTTATACATGTCATAAGGATATGTATTATAAAACAGAAAATAGTAAGATTTATCTTACAGAAAATGTTTTAAGCCACCTACTTATTCACTACGAACAAGTTGCATGATCGACAAACATTAAAGTAATGGTGTAAACGTGAATAATGACGAAGGAAGTAAATCAGGTTAGCCTAAATTACTTTATCACTTGGTGGGTTGTAAGACCAAGTAACAACGCATTGGTAACAACGATAATAACAGATTGCGTTAGAATGCCAGAGGGTCGTTTGGGTTAAGAGGGTTGTAAAACTGCTCCAGCCGTAAATATTCATGATTCTAATGTTCCCATAAAGCATGGCGAGAAATAAATGCGAGCTGCGGGAGCTATAAACAATATATCCTTAATGGAAGTGCTAAATAATTTGTAGAAAAATATTAGCTAATACAGTTTGTTATAGTGTTGGATTCAGCGTGCATTCCCCCCTCGTATGTAGATTCTCTGGCAATATTTATTGCCCTATGTTACTAGTAGTGCAAAAAGACATTATTTTAGAAATTGTATTTATTATTTGTAACGGATTCGTGTATATGTTTAGTGAAAAAACTAAATTTACATTAGATTCAGAATTCAGTGAAGACTGTTACTATTTATTTAAAAAAATTTTATTTGATATTTATTTTTGATAGCCCAAGGATTGGATTTTATGACAAATAATGAAATGAATAAAGTTGTGAATTATTAATAGGTATGTATAGGGTTGGAATGTAGGACAAAGTTGGCCGTATGTGGTTAGGTCAGTGACAGAATACCAGATAACCTGACAATATCGTTGAAGCCATAGTACTTGAATTGGCTCTAGTAGAATCATATTACAAGTAAATATACGGTTGGTATCACTGGTGGATAGAATAGGGTCTGTTGTATTGCCTGGGTCAGTGACATGAATGGCGGCCTGCATGGTGATATTAACGAAACCATAAAATTGAACACACAGCCTTTGTAGTGATACTTGAACCAAATAAAATGATATGGAAATGTTTTATAGCTATTGTAGTTTTTAAAACTTGTTTTTTAATGTTAAAAAGCTATACGAAATAGTTTATGATTTAAATATAATTATGTTTTGGACAAAATTTACACTAATTTAGCTACTCGACTTTGGTTGAATCAGCCGCGAATATTTGAGCAGAAACTGTATGTATCCTAAACATGAACAGATGACGTCACTGGCTAGAATTCCTATGGTAAAAGGTGTAACAGCTGGTTCGACAGTCCCATTTAAATATTTATAAAAACATGTTGCATAAAGGCCAGGATCATAATTGTTTATGTTTTTGATCCACATCGATTCTATTCCAATATTCGTGGTATCAAATACTTTAAAAGAGCACGCGTGTGAATTTAAACAACCTGACTACTTGCAGGACCTTGTTTTACTATAAAAACATTGCACAACACAAACATAATAGATTGTATTGCACAACCTTACGAACGACATCCCTGAGGTTAAATGGACAACAAACTGTTAAAGCTGCCAAATATTTATTCAAGAGCGATTCAGTTTATAAATGAAGACGTGCTTGGCGTTGCTATTCGCAGAGTTTACACAAATATTTACTCCCGTAGTATCGCATGAGAATCTGATAATGGTTTTGTGATTGTTCAGTTTAAGTTTGAGATGGGTTGAAAGAAAGAGACTTTTATTTATTTAAAGATTGATTTATTCAAGTTTATGCCTAATTGAAAAAAAAATACGGAATGGTATACCAACGCGTAAAATAGATGTTCAAAAGATGTTCAAAACTAATACTTACCCACAATAAGTTAACGATACTAGATGCAATTTTTTTACACATATGATCTCCAATTATTTAGAGATAAGCTACTATAGCTATTGCAAATTATTTTAAACAAAGTGTAGGTATATCACATTTAAGTTTTAATCGCATTTCTAGATAAGCTACCCAAAATAAACTTTAGTTTACTAATTTAAATGGTATAAGATTACCTGTTTCTGACTGTGATCCTAATTTGTAGTAATAAGCTACCGGTTTAGAGGTTATAACCTCATCATCAGGCTCTTGTCACTCTTGCGTGGTCGTCGAGTTTTACAAACACACAAAACACTGAAATTTAAATAAATAAAATACAAGACATTGACGGACGAATACGATTTAACATAAACCTCGTCATGACAAAACGTTTGCCCGTGCCGCGTCGTGTGCGGAACTAGTTCCAGTTGTTTATGTTAAATCGTATTCGTCCGTCAATGTCTTGTATTTTATTTATTTGAATGTCAGTGTTTTGTGTGTTTGTAAAACTCGACGACCTCGCAAGAGTGACAAGAGCCTGATGACGAGGTTATAACCTCGAAACCGGTAGCTCATTACTACAAATTAGGATCACAGACAGAAACAGGTAATCTTATACCATTTTAATTTTCAAGAAGTGATCCTAGACCAAATAGCATCATTATTTAGTTTACTAGATTTCTGACTAAATCCATTACTCTTTGTTATCCTCCCTAAATTGTTTTTATCTTAACGGTGTATTATGAGAGTAAACAATTATGCGATACTGCAATCATCATTTTTACCTACCCAACTAGTGAAATTTATCATTATGCACAGGAAGAAGCCCGTGTGATTTTACTGAAATATTGTAATGTGGCTTTCTTACAATGTCACAATTTTTATTTTATTCCACTTAAATAATTACTTACTTCGGATACAACGTGGGGTGGCCAATCATGACGTATCTGTTGATAGTGATGGCCAGCACGGTAAACAGAGAGACAGCCAGCAGGCCGTATCTTAGCAACGGGAAGAGATGGCAGAGGAGACGACCGTGACGCCACGCTCTCTGCCAGAAAGTAGAGGCTGCCAGAGGGAGGTTGAAGCAGCAGGACATCAGGTCGGAGACGGACAGGTTGATGATGAATACAGCTGTAGCATTGCGGACCTGGAACAGGTAAACTTCGATGTAAGGTGGACAGGAGAGTTTTTTCTTTCGACTTTGTACATAAGTTATAAGTCAAGTAATATTTTTCGTCAATGATATTTAGTAAATACGTATAATTATGGGGAAATCACAGAGATTGAAATAATTTTGTACAGCATTGGAGGTTGTATGACTTTGTTTAGTCTAAATTGTACATACTAAATTTTAATTATAGGAATCTTTCAAGCCGTTTTGCTTAAAATCTTACTGTCCCGGGGAAATTGGCATTAAAATTAAATTCAAAAAAAAGGAAAAACACCTGAAGATACTATGGATTAGTATCCACATAAAAGATGTAATCAAAAGCGTACCACACATGTAGTCTATCGTTCTTTCTACACACGTAAACACACACACGCACAGACATCACTTCGAAAACTTCCTTTTTTGGGTTCAGGAGGGGGGGTGGATAAAACTGATATTTCCAGGCAAAACTCAAACTCAATCATTTTGACGAAAACAATACTTTTTATATAAAAAATATATAAAGAATATAAAATAAAAAATAATGGGGGAGAGTAAAAAATACACGTCAGAATATATTAATAATACGAAGAAACTTATCTTATTGCTTATGAGATGACAGGAGAAATAAAATGTTTGTATACAAATAATTTGTAAATGGGAATATGCATCTTACAGTACGTAATAAGGCTTTTAAGGAACAATATATAGAAACAGAGTTAACACAGGAACGATATGACAAATTGTATTTAGTATATTTATTTTTTTTTCAGTCAGCTCAATTAAAAAGACATAATTAATGGTGTTGAATGATGGTACATTTTCTAAATTGTTCAGTAAATGAAAGATAAACTGAAGAATTTAAAAAAGGTTAGTGTGGTACATGATGAAACCTTGAGTAAGTGCTGAGGCATGTGAGGTGAAATTATATTGTTTGGTATATAAAGCTGGGTTGAAATCATGGAGGAATAAAGGATGAATTTGATAGGATAGAATGTAAACAATAAGATGTTTGGAAAATGTATTACATGATAAAACATAGGGCAACTATTTACTGTAAATTATGTTACAGGAGGTAAATTTCATCCGGAAAAAGGAACATGAGGCAAATATTGTAAACGAATACGACACAGCAAACACAGCAGAGTACAACTGCAGCTCTTGGCAATACAGTTTGGACGTTTAACAAACGAATGATACGACCATTGTCTAAACTGGTTTCTCAAACTGTCTCTTATTGTTACCATCTTGTACATTTGCGATTATAGTAACTCTACACCTTGCAATCTTTCAAACAATCTACCAATGAATGTATTTAAAACAATTAACTTTAATAAATAGCTTGGGTATTATTTATTTTAATAGTGATGCTTATGTTTTTCTAGCTTTAAGGTGTATGAGCAGGACCTAATCAACAAATTTCAAAGCAGACCTATTTTAATCTTCATATACTTATTCAAAAGATTTTAAAGACCTTTAAACCTAAAGTGTGTAGATAAAAATGCAGAATAACGTATTACAACTTAACTAGTTATATTTATAAGTAGTAACAAATATTTACGTAGAAGAAAAATATTAAATTAAGACAACTAGACATTCCATCCCCAAGTTAAATTAGTATCCGGGTTTTTTTACTAAAATTCTTGTAGTTAATGTGAGCAACCGACAGATTGTGCTGTTGTAAAAACTGATTTCTGTCGAATAAACAATATATTTTACCAATTCAAAGTAATGGAATGACTTATTGTGAGCTACAGCAACGGTTTTGGCCCATCAACCTGGTCAGCAAAAAAAATAAGATAGAAAATAGTTTTAGTCACTAGGTCATTCTGCAACTGACTCACTCAAATGCGTTCTTTAAAAAAAAAATAGCTACAGCTGGTGTATATAGATGGAACGTATTCAATAGTCAATGATAATATCCACCGAGTTATTAATTCATCCAAATCTAAATAAATTATGAATAGAAATCAACAAAATAAACTTTATGCAAAAACAATCATAAGTTTGTTCCAAAATCGTTAAATATGAACCGTTGCACCATATCTGGACCCACCATTTTGAAATAAAGATAAAACATGTATAAGCAATAAATTTCAAATTGTCTAAATCTAACAGTGCAATCTAAAATGCATTTTCAGCACTATTACTACAATGAACTCCCCATATCAAGAGGAAATAGTGCCAATAGATAACAAATAGTATACTATTACATCGTTTCCTACTCAGCAAACAGAATGGCGTATAGATGCACTCTGTTTAATTTAAATCGGACATCGCCATTGGTAATAAAGTATAACCCATTTAATGTTATCTTGATAGGGCGAAAATCTAGTAGTGCTTGGAATGAGGTTACTTGCTCCCATCTGTTAGCTGAACAATTCATCTCCACTATCTAGTAAAACTTGTACTTTAGCTCGGGAACCAATTTTTCTTCTCAGACTAAAACGGTATTTGGATGGATTACATTTAGTGAGTGAGAATGTATTGTCTTTAAGAAATACATATTCGTAAACGCAGTTTTCAACCTGCATAGAGTAAATGAATAAATTTCATGGAATCAATACGTGTTCCAGTATAAAATGAAGCAAAATTATAATGGATCTGTGTCTTATTTGCTTATACTGTAGTTTACGTCCTTTCCTTGATTCTTGTGTAACTTAAGAATATTTTCATTATTACTGTTCTAAGTGTGAACGCCAAAATTGCCTCTTGTCCTAAAGCGTTGTTCATAGATATTTTTATTACATAAGTTTCCAATATTTTTTTAATTTTTATTTACAATTGGGTTATTTATAGTTTTACATTAATCCCATAGCATTTAAAAACTGAGAAAAAATTTGAAGTGTATGCTTGTTTTATGCTCATTACAAAGACACTTATAATTGTATGAACAAATCAATAAAAAATACGCAAATACATGTTTATATCTTTAGTGAATCTATAATAAATAAATGTTCTTATTTTTTAAGCTTAAATGAAAAACTACACAGATATTATTAGCGTGATTATTTTCTACTGCATCTACTCACTACTTGTTAATGAATGAAAAAATGTGAGCAGATGCATTATTATAATTATTAAATTTTTCAATTGTACTTATCGTTTTCATGCTCTTAGTTTCTCCTTGAAGATCCAAGTGATTGTAAAACTTTAAATCGTGTGATTTTAATGCCCAATGTCGTTTTTGTAAAAAAATATGGGTATTTCTTTTAAACATAGTTGTCACATAGACAGTCATGATAGACAGTCACAGAATGCGCTAGTGTCTAAAATTATATTGTTTACCTTATTTTTTTGCTGACCAAGTTGGTGGTCAAAACAGTTGCTTTAGCTCATAATAAGTCATTCCATTAGTTTGATTTGGTATACAAGTAAGTGTATCAACATATCAGTAAGTTAAATTAGCCCAATCTATTGGTAGCTTATTTTAACTAAGACAGTTTTGATGTTAAATCTTGCAACAACTTCAACATAGGAATTGAATGTCCAGTTATATGGATAGTATTTTTTTTTAATTCACTCATGCAATGTTATATTTTTTTCAGCTGATCGCAGCTGTAATTAATATAAACTTAAAAGTCACCATTCCTTTTGTAGACATAAACTTAAATTAAAAATAAACTCTTATTGACAGTATTTGTAGGTGATAGATATTTTTATGACGTCCTGATGGCGGGGGAGGGGGGGGGAGTTTGGTAAGGTGCCAATGGTAAGTGGGATTGGAAAGGGCAACTATGCAGTAAAATCAATCCATGATGTCAATATCACACAAACCAAGAAACTCCTCGAGTACGTTACAACACCTTTCCATCGCGGTTCTTCTGACTTTTATGTTTTGTTCTCATCCTTATCTTCGTCGATTTTAGTTAAGAGTTAATAGAGTTAATAGTACATAAGGGTAGTACTATAGAGATGCAAATACATGGGTTTTTTAGGCAATACAATTTACAATTTAATGATTCTCTGTTAAAGGGGAAACATGCTCCTAAGATGAAATATCCCTTTCCACATTTACAGCTTATCTGATATGCATTTTAACATTTAGTTTGGTTTAGTGTTATTAAGAATTCACTGTAAATAAGATTTAACATTTTTGCAAGCTCAAATAGAATAGGCCTAATTTCTACAAGAATTGATGATTGGTTATTCGTTTTATGCCAAAATATTTTTGCAATTAGGTTTCAGGTGAGATTTCAGTACTAAAAAATAAATTGTTCTATAAACTGTAAAGACCAATAATACAATACCATTTTTCTATAAATTTGTAATTAGTCTTTAAGATTGGTTGCGTTTTAGATACCATTTAGAGAAAACCCATTCTTAATTGTATTCACAATCAATTCCCAATAACAGTAATCAGTAAACTATGTAGACAACAATGCTGAAATTCATATCAGCTGATCTTTAATGAAGTATAGGAATCAGGGGTGCCAACTCATGAGCTATTTTTGTAAGTGGACAGTGAATCAGTGTATTTGTATTTTGGGTTGCAAAAAAACTGGAGAACTGCAGTAGTTTTGCACAATATTTAATTAATGCTGTATTAAATGGTCAATAATGCTTTTACATAATATGAAAAAGGGTGATATTACTACTTGTCTAAACAAAAATATAATATTTTTTTCATTCTATGATTTCTTATTCTTAAAAGAGCCAGAGGTTTTAAAATGACTTGATCATTTGTTTGTTGGTTTTCTTTTCGACCACTATCCTACAATCTTACAAAACCCTACAATATTTTCCATTTATATTCTTTTGTAGATGACCATGTGGTACTTTTATGCAGTACTATTATTGATATACAAAATAAGCTTAATACTATCAATATCATCAAAAACTCAGCCTCAATAATTTGTCTAACCATTTAAGAAATATTAATTTGACTATATTTATATTTTATTTTATTTTCGCTTTTCCTTATTTAATTATGTTTCCTTTATTTGGGGTTGGTGTTTTTGTTTCATGTTGTATAATACGATTTTGGTATAACAATA